GTGCGGAACGTATTTACAATATGGTTAATCAATAGATATTGTTCTAATTATTTCTGTATAATATTTAAAACACGTGACGTGATCGAATCCGTTGTCCACGTGGAAAAACGAAAAAAATTACACTATCTCGAATTACCACATTCCGTGCCACACCACTTTCGCGCGTGTCTGCATATATCTAGCTGAAATATATCGTTCACGACCCACGTTTCACTTGTTTCTTTCACGCTAGAAATGCTAGCTGCTTGAACAGGTTATCATTGACCTTTTGAACATAACGTGTATATATTAAATATATTAAATATCATTAAACTATTAATGATTTCCAAGTTCTAAACGACCATTTTGATGTAAGACACTTCACGAAGATAAAGAAATTTATATACTCGGCAATTGTTAATTACGAGCATCGATAAAGGAACGATACGATGCACGTGTAGCGCGATAATATACATGTTATTTCGAAAGTATGGATATCTAACAATGAATGCGCAGAAATTATCAATCATTTTCAAATGAACAGTGTCAGTAAGTTCATAATTCATAACAACGCATTCTTAGTGAAAGTAATTATTATTCAGTGATCACTGATTATTGTTTCGAGATACCTATATCAATGGAATTATTATGTCAGTTAAAATATCTTCATTTACGATGCGACTATTTATTAAATTTCTCAGATTCACGAAATGTTCTCTTTCTTTATTGCGTTAGAAAGTTTGGTTGAACGAGTATATTACACTCACATTTATTATATTTTTAGGAAACATTTAATGTATGGTAAAGTACTCTAATTAAGAACTTCTTTACATTCTTTTTAATTAAACTTGAGATATTTTTTAATTTCAGAGAATTTCAATGAGGGAATTTAAAAAGAACCGAAAGAACGCAGCAAAATTAAAATTTTATAAAGTAAATTCAAATTGACTTCTTAAGTAATAATAATTGTTGACAATTTGGTATATTATTAGTAAATCATTTTTTTAAAGAATTTGGAGTTTCTACCTCCTTCCTCATTCTTATTATCATTTCTTTTCTATCGTAATTGAACGTATATTGAAATATTCTGCTCGCAATTAATAAGCATCAGACTTATTTCAAAACGCACAAAATACTCAAAGTGAAGCACTAATACGTAGCAGACGAAACAAATTACTATTTAGAATTAAATCTTTTGTTTATAAAAATATGAAATCGTCAAACCAACGTTGGCTCATGTTAAGATTGTATAACATAACAATACAAAAGTAAAATAAAAGTATAATTATAAATTATCTATATTATATTAGATTTAGTCTAAAAATTAATTTCAAAGTATTTATAGATGGGGACTTCGATGTGAATTATAGTCGACTGTTCGCGAGTTGTAATAATCAAGATTCACGTACGCGTCTCAATTTTTATTTCAGGCGACATTCGTGTCAATCAAAATACTCAGCTGACTATCTTGCAAATTATACTGCTTCGAGAACATAATCGCATCGCCGATGCTTTAGCTCGTATTAACCCTCATTGGACGGATGAGACAATTTTTCAAGAAGCACGACGTATTGCGATCGCGGAACACCAATACATTTCATATTACGAATGGCTGCCGATATTTTTAGGTGAAGTTTCAATCTCGTTAAATTACAAATGAATATATAACTTGTCATATCATGATAATATTAAATGTAGTGTATCGCATTTTTAGGTACAAGCAGCACATATGGCAACAACATTTTATACCATACCACGGATTACGTGAACGATTACGATCCATACGTAAATCCAAACGTTCTCAACGAGCATGCGACCGCTGCTTTCAGATACTTCCACTCTCTTATCGCTGGTTTCCTCGAGTAAGTTCAGTCGTACTTTGTAACAGTTAGTGTAACAAAATAAATTCATTGGAAGGCGGAAACGATTAAGAAGAAATTTACACGAGATTACAATACAGTCAATTTAATCACAAACGAGAAACTCAATCAGAACGTTCTAACGTTGAACAAGAAAGACAAAAATGTTATCTTCTTGAAGTTTACATTAGATTCGTGAATTTAATTTAATTTGGACAATTTAATTTAGACAATTAGGATTTATTTTAACCAAAATCATAAAATGCAATAATAATTTTCAATGTTTAAAGTTCATATCAATACTACATGATTTGAATTTCTGAAATAAATTTAAGTTTAATAAATTCCAATATATTGTAATTCTTTAAATAAAAGTTAAGTTACGATACCAAATTGATCAAAAAACGTTTCAAATTTTCTATTAGCATTCCGTCGCGAAAATGAACGTTCTATCATGAATTAATTCATCTTCTACGCAAAACATTTTCTAATAATAATAACAATCAAATATTTTCCTCCTGAGAATCTCTATTATAATAGGTGACAAATTTTTAAGCGTAAATTTTGTTTCATTTATCTTGCAAACTTTAGCTTGGTAAAGGAAGATCGATCTTCAAACGCTGCTTTGAGGCTCAGCAATTATATGAACAGACCATCAATTATCGAGGAGAACAACAATATGGCCGACTTGACGAGAGGCATGTCTTTTCAGTCAGAAAAAGCCAGCGATGAATTCTTTGACGCAGAGGTAGGAATCCATTCGAAACATTCGTAGACAACCTACCTGGATCGTTTGCACCTCGAACGAAATCTTTCAAAGCAAACTTTCACTCTTGTTGGAAAATTTCGTAAAGATTTAAAACTTGAAAATTGAAACGAAAATTTCATCAAATAGTGCGACATTTTTTCACATTTTTTTGAATGCCTAGAATAGTAAAAAGAATATGAATAATTCAGCTTTCCTATTTTTTTCTCTTTCTGTACCTATCGATATGTACGATAACATGCTTATTGCACTGAGAGTTCAACTGTTGAATCGAGTCGAATTGTTGGATTTTTGTATATTGCAGATCACGCGATATTTACTCAGAAGTGGAAGGCCACTGGGATCGGACCTTCGTGCGACTGATATTCATAGGGATCGCGATCATGGTCTCGCATCGTACAATGACGTCCGTGAATATTGCGGTTTACCGAGAGCGAACGATTTCGACGATTTCACAGATTACATTTCCTCCGAAGTGAGTACAGCTGTTCAAAATTAATATTGGGACAGTTGAATATTTAAACTGTTACAATAAACATATTCAAAGGGGGGGGGGG